AAGGAGAAAGGTCTCTCAAGAGATGGACTTGGGTCATTCAGGTAAGAGGGGCTGACATCCTTGTAAAAGGCCAGTTGTTATTTATATCTACTCATCTCCCTCTGGAATTACATCTATAACCAACAAAATCCTGGTCTTGCTCAGCTGGAAAAAACCAGCAGCATCCAGACATGACTGGTTTTTTTGTTTGTTGTTTGTTTGTTTGAGATGTGAAGTTTTGCATGTAAATCAAATAGAGTTTGCCAGAAAATTCATTGCCTGAGCAAATACGGTCTGCTCCTTGGGTGTTGCCAAGTAGGAGAAAGATGGTTTGTCTGGAGAGACTCCAGAGAAAACTGTCAATACCATAGAAATGAAAACTCAGAATTAAAGGACCAAGGTAAGGGGATCTGTAATCCCCCCTCCCATGCATTTTCTGTCTACCCACAACTCCCAAAGTTTGCTTCATATTTCTGACAGACACCGGGACCCCAAAGTGATGCATCTAGGCATTCTTACCCTGCTTCTTGGGGAGGCAATGGGGTGACCTCTTCAGCTGCAGAATAGTGAGAAGGTATGCCCAGGCCCATGCAGCCAGAGGGAGTCACGTCTCCTTGTCTCCTCGGAGGTCTCATGCTGAGCTAGCGAGGCCAAGAAAGTAGGGGCAGAACTGGATGACCCTTGTGACATTCCCACTGGAGTCTCCTCGGGCTCCAGGCCTATTACAATCTCATGTGAGAGACTGGCCATGCCACAGTGAAAGAGCACAGTGTGTTGCAGCAACCCTGAAACTGTTTGCCCAGAGAATCTTTCCTCGCCCTTTTCCTATATGGGTGCAGAAAAGAATTAACATGGCAAACCTAAAACTGGCCTTAGAAAGCCTTACTTGCAAGATTGGCCCTTGCTTGGCATCTGAGAACTTGAACTTCCGGAGTCTTCCCACTGTTCCCTAACGGACAAGCTATTCAAAAATTGTGGCTCATGCAGAACACCTGTTTCCTTCGGGGAGTCTGGAATTTGGGTATGAGCAAGGCAGAGGGTACCTATGTGACCAGACCCCATAAACACCCTGAGCACTGAGCCTCTAGTGAGCATCCCTGGCAGATGACATTACATGAGTGTTGTCACAGCTCATTGCCAGGATGGTAAGCACAGCCCCTGTGCCTTGATTGGGAGAGGACCTTGGAAGCTTCTGCCTGGTTTCCTCCAGACTTCGCCCAAGTGACTTTTCTCCTCTGATTTGGATTTGCATCTTTTCGTCATGATTTACCATGTAGTATATATAATATATGTACATTTATATCTGATCATAGCCATGTGAGCGGCTGTCTGGTGATTCCTCCTAATGAACCCATAGAACCTGGGTGTAGTCTTGGGGTCCTCAACACAGGAGTGGTGGGGCTAACTTTGCAGGTGGTGTTTTCCAGAGTCCTTTTTCAACTGATTCTAGTTGAGTTCTGGAAATGGCAGACAAAAGAGGGTGTGGGTGGGAAGAAAGGGACAAGCTAGGATAGTTCTTCCCTCCCTCTTGACCCCAGACAGTGTTTCTTGTAATGATTGGATCTCAAGCTCCCACCAGACTGGACCACAGGATTCCAGTGCCTGACATTCCCTCAGCCCTCCCACTGTGATGACACCAACTCCTCCCTGCTGTTGCTAATTGTGGAGTTGACTCACCTTCTCCTGTTTGGTTTCTTGTCTCTTCTATCACCTGTGTAACCAATCCCTGCCTTAAATTCCTTCTTTCAGAAAGACTTAAAGTGGTCTTTGTTTTCCTAATGAAAACCCCACCTGTTACATTTCTTAAATATTTACATGGTTCCGCCTCCATGCCAGGCAAGAGCATTCACAAATAGAAGAAACAATCCCATCATTAAGGACCTCAGAGCCTATACACCTGTGGAAATTCCATCCCGAGCACAGTTCAAGATTCACTGTGTGACCAGAAACCTTTGCTCTGATGTCTCAGCCATATAACCATGAGGAAATGCTCTGTAAAATGAATGGGCTTTCACCATATACTAGGGCTTGGTGCCTTGGACACGTTTTTATTGACTTTGTTAAGCACAAGGAAAGCCATTGCATTTACGACGCTATGAGGTTGGTGGTTTGGGGGAGTCAGAAAGCCAACTACTCTGTGTGCATCTTCACACAGCCAATAATTAGTCTCAGGCCAAAAGTGACACAGTGGAGGTTGTTGTGAGGGTGACAATTCTGTCCTGAATGCACAACTCAACCCCAAGTTATGGGGGCATCTGGCATCTATGTAACCTCATCTGAAGGGTACAAGGGTGGCCACTCATCCTCAAACCCCACATGGGCAAGGGTATCTAGGAATTCTGGACACTCAGATTTAATGTTTGCCAGGAGGACTATGAGAATGTGATAGGTAGAGATTGGGGGAGGGTTTTAAAAAATACTGAGAAGACCTGAAATTGCATGAATGCTGAGCAGAAGCAGTACCAGACATCTTTAGGGTGTTACTCTAGCACTCCACAAGGAATGTGGCAAAGATGGCCTTTGGACAGTTAAGTGGTCAGCAGCCTCTCTCCAGGGAACTCTGGCTGGAATCCCTACCCTTTTGTAGCCAAGCAGAAGTACAACCAAGGAAACAGAAAGTGATCATGCAGTGTGAGAACTACAGCAAGGCGAACTCCCTGCAAGGCATCTGGGGAGTCAATGGAGGGCAACTGGGCAGGGGAGAAAGACGGAAGCCAGAAGGCGGAAGCTTAGTGATGGAGAGGAGGAGAGGAGAAGTGAAAGTGGAAGGCAGGGAGGGGAGACTGGTGTTGGGGGAAGTTTTCTAAAACATCAGAGACCTTAAATTGTATGAATGCTGAGGGAAAGAGCAGTGCTAGAGGCAGAGTCTAGCTTGTATAGGGCCTTGTCAGTTTAAGTTTAGAATTTATCCAAAAAGCAAACAGAAGTAGTCATACAAGGGCTTTGTGCAAATAATTTGATTTCAGATTCGAGCCCTGCAATGCTCATTCTGACTGCACTGTAGAGAAAGGACGGGAAAAGGATACATGGGTACATTCAAGGACTGCTTAAGAGGTAGGATAGAAGATGTTTGCTCAAGGATTGGATTTGATGACTGAGGGAGAGAAACAAAGAGGCCTCAAGAATGATGCCCATGTGACTGGTGTGCCACCTGCGTGCAAGATGGTGGGATTCTTAGAGGTAGAGAACTCCTGAGATGTGCCAGGTTTTCAGGGCGAGTGATATGTCTCAGGTTAGACATGATGAGCATGGGTTGTCACTGGGATATGACAAGTGAGGGTAGCCAGTAGGCACTTAGTTAAGGGAATCTACAGTTCTGGAAAAGATCCTGGCTAGAGACTCACATTTAGGGGGTGCTGAGGTATTAATGAAACTTTAAAACAATGAGAGTCGCTGAGACAATCAAGGGATATTGCGCTGCATTGGAGAAAACCTCAGACTGTTCAGTGTCAAGGAAGCCTAGGAAAAATGCCTTCAAAGAGAGAGTTCAATGCTTCCAAAAGGTTAGGTGAATAAAAACGGAATCCTGTCTTTTGGCCTGAGCACAGGCCTTGGAGACCTTGACCTCTAGTTTCAGTAGAATGATGAGTCGAAAGCCAGATGACAGAAACTTAGTGATGAAGGGGAGGAGTGACAGCAGGGTTGGGGACATGGGGAGCGGGGACATAGGTTGGGGAGGTTTTTTTTTTCTTTAAAAAACACTTGAGAGACCTGAAATGGCATGAATACTGAGAAGAAGCAGGGCTGGCAAGCAGGAGCTTGAAGCTACAAGAGGAAGAGTGAATAAGAGGCACAGCCAAGCCCTGGAGAACAAGGCAACACAGAAGCCTGGTTTGGAGACACAGGGGGAGGAGGAACCTTTCCAACTTTAGTAACAGGAAAAAAAGAGGAAAAGATAGATAAGGTTGCAGGCAAGTCCATACATTGCAGAAAATTGAAAGAATTTCTAACCAACGGCATCTTTTTCTTTCTTCTCTATAACATTAGAAGATGGAGTGACAGGGTCAGAAATTTGAAGAGAGTAAAGGTTAGAAATAGCCAGGTGTGACTGGGTGCTGTGGCTCACACCTCTAATCCCAACACTTTGGGAAGCTAAGGAGGGTGGATCACCTGAGGTCAGGCATTCGAGATCAGCCTGGCCAACACGGTAAAGCCCCATCTCCACTAAAGACACAAAAATTAGCCAGGCATGGTGGTGTGCACCTGTAGTCCCAACTACTTGGGAGGCTGAGGCAGGAGAATCGCTTGAATTTGGGAGGCAGAGGTTGCACTCCAGCCTGGGCAACAGAGTAAGACTCTGAGAAAGAAAGAAAAAGAAAAAAAAAAAAAAGAAAGAAAGAGAGAAAGAAAGAAAAAGGGAGATGGAGGGAGGGAGAGAAAGTAAAAGAAGAAAAGGAAAATTTTAGGAGGAAAATATTCTTTTCTTTCTAACTTTTGAACATTCACTGAAATGATTTTCAGAGAAAAACAAAGTGTTATTTTCTGATCTGCGTGGCACTATAAAAATGTTTACTCATCTTCCTTGGGGCTAGGCATCCCATTCCTGCAGGAAGTCTTGTGGTGAGGCAGTGGCTGTGCCTCTGGGATGATTCCAGAATGGAGACCATGCCTTATTTGCACAGGAGGGACACATTGCTCTCACTGGATGCATGGTCATAACTGTCTGTGTGACCTGTTTGTGGGAGGGCAGACTCCCTCCTGCCAAGCCCCAGTAGCAGTCAACCTGCCAGGCAAAAGCGTTCCTTTGTAAAGAAGACCCTCCCAGCCCCTCTAACCTAAAGGGAGGGGAGGGGACGTCCTGGCACTGCAGGGACTTGGCTGGTACTCCCAGCAGGGAGAGGTGTGTGTGTGTGCAGAACTAGGGTGGAGATGGGGAAGGAATGGGAAACTGGGAGTAAGAGGGATAGGTGGGAGAGGAGGGGACACCTGCCGGGGTAACAGGCCAGAATGAAGTAAATGGGAAGTCCTCAGAGCTCCGCTGCTGACTCCAGCTGTCCAGAAGGGGGAGGAGAAAACCCATGGGACAGGGGAGGAGGGTGAGGGCTCCTCTTAGGAAGTTATTTAAGAGCCAACTTTCTTGTCTTTCCTGAGTCCTTTTGAGGAAGTCCCCGGGGCGTACAGAGCAAGCCCACGCTAGGGCACCTCTGGAGGGGATCGCCCGCAGGTAAGCCGCTGCCCCCACACCCTAAGAACCAGGGGACCGCTGCGTCCACCTCCACCGCGAACCCGCAGGCGGCTGCTCCGGACCTGTGGCGCGGGGCATAGGCAGCCCCACCTGCCCAATTCTGGCTTTCTGCCCCAACTCCGCACCTGCCCAGCCCCGCTTCTGAGCTAGACTTCTCTCAGCTACACTCCACACAGCTCTCCTGAAGTCGTTGCTTGCTAAGAAGGCCACCAAATGGGATGGGGGAGTTCGGGGTGCTTCCCTGAGAGACAATCCCCCTTTCCTCAGGGGAGCAGATTATGGAGCTGGAACACAAAAGGTGGGGGAGTGGAGCCAAGGGAGAACGGCCTGCTCCGTGGCTGGAACCCCGCCGGCTTGGCTCCCCACTCCTGCTCAACGCCTTCCCCCATCCCAATTTGGAGGTGAATTAGAGCCACTTCTCCTGCCTTGACCCACCCAGTGCCCGCCGCACTCCCCCAGCCAGGCGTGTACCTGCGGCTCTGGGCTCCCCAGTTCTCCCCGTTAGCAGTGTGTCTCCCAACAGCGACAACGAGCTGCCCTGTTCTGCACCCCTGCAGTGCCACAGCCTGTCTTCGCTATTTCCCACCAGAGGAAACGGGCTTTCTCTGGCCCCTGCCATTAACCCATTTTCTCACTTCTCCCTCCCTTCCCAGTTCAGCTCCCCAGTGATGGTAAATATATTTGCCGATATTCATGGATACCTATTCACACCTTGTGCATGCAAACACTCTCGTCTCCTTCTCAGACCACACACCTTAGGCGTGCTTGTCTTTTCTCTAGCACGTTGCTAGTGCTTCACATGTCTCTGGAACCGTCTCTCTCCTCTGGTGGCCTCTGTAATGGGGACTCTTCACATCTCTTGGGAGTGTGCCTGGTTTTTGAAAATAGCCAAGTCGCCGGGAGTCATGACTGGGTAATCCAGAGGATCAAGGGGGAACCCTCATTGGGCCCAAAAACAAAGTCCCCCCCTATTCGGTCAGTTGGTCAACACGTACTTACTGGGCTCTGACCGTCAGGTGTGTGCTTTTTAAACTGGCTCAGTGCCTGCACAAACTCCACAGGAAACGGAGGCAGGCTTGGGGCATGGGAAATGTCAGCAACCCTGACTTCTTAAGCCTACTGATAGCCCTATTTAAAATGGCATCCACCTCCTTCTCCTCCTCCACGTGGTTCTGTTTTCAAAGCAGTTCCTACCTCCTCATCCCTAACTGGATTTACTTATGGCTCTTGTTGGGCTCCACCCTAACCCTACCAGACTGTAATCTACCAGAGCAAAAAAATCTGTTTTGTTCTTTGATGCATCCCATGTTCCTAGATCACAGCCTGGCACGCCATAGGCCCTCAGTAAATATTGGTTAAATTAAATTGCAAATGTGAACGCTTTAGAAGACAACATTTATCTGAACATGCTTGTGCGAGTTTATTCTCAAAAGTGACTTATGATCTCATAAATCTCTGTGAAATGAACACAGACACGGCACATGCATATAACAAGAAACATTTCTTGCAAAGATGTTGCTGTTAAGATTGTGGAGAGTGGGTCTCCAAAATCTTTTAATTTTTTTTATTTCTTTAAATAAACCCATTTTCTTCCACTTCCTATATCTTTTGGCATACACAAAATCTCCCCAAGATCCTTAGAGAACTGTATTCCATCATTAGACTAATCCTTGCTACCACTTATCAGTTTTTATTTTTGCAAACCTCAAAATGTGTTGCTCAAGTGCTATCACACACAGATATGTCTGTTTTCGATTTTGGAATCCTTGTCTCAAATGTTACTCATTTTACATGCTTTTTCTGTTGTCTTTCTCTCTCTCTCTCTCTCTCTTTCCTTCCTTCCTTCTCTCCCTCCCTCCTTCCTTCCTTTTTTTTTTTTTTTTTCTTTTGCTGAAGGACCTTGTAAAGCCAAGAATGTCAGAAACCTCCAGGATCTCCTCCTTTGGGGGCAGGAGAGCAGTTCCACCCAACAACTCCAATGCGGAGGAGGATGATCTGCCCACAGAGGAGATTCACAGCCTGGTGCCCCGGGGCGTCAACATGGAAGGTAGGAGCATACCTCCTCTTCCCACCACTCTGGGTCCAGGCACAGCTGGCCCTGGCCCCTCTTCCCTGCAGGTAAACATCCTCCGTCTTCACTGGGGCTCCCACAAAAGGAAGCCCCCTGCCAATCTCCGGTTTTATAAAGGAAGGAAGCAAAAGCTTTCTTTTAAGTGGTGAAAGCACCAGAGACCCAGATCCTTTCCCAGTTCTGCCACTTATTGACCTTGTAACCTCAGGGAAGTTGCTTTGTCTTTCTGCCTCTCAACTATTTCCTCCACAAAACCAGGGTGCTGGATTAGCTAGGGTCTCTTCCAGCCCTACTGCTCAATGCGTTAGAGAATTTTCTCTAGCTGGAATATTCCACTTCCAAAATATTGTGGCTGTTTTGATTGTCTGGCTTGCACCTCCTTTCTTCTCCCTCCTCCATCCATTGCTGTGAATTTCAGAGCTGGGGAGAAGTGCCAGACTCTGACAGTAATAGAGATGGAAGCCCTCTATTTCTCTCCAGAGCAGCCTGGTGAGCTGGCAAGGCAAGCTGCTTCCCCAGGCTCTTGCCTCTGCCTGATCCCTAGAAACCTGCTCGGGGTACGGCAGCCAGCAGCTGACCTCCTCTCAGCCCCGTCAGCGGTGACAAGGCCCAGGTGCCAGCACTGGTTTGTTGATACAGATATCATTCCCCTGGGCCACGGAAGGGACATTCAGACTCATGTCCCCAAATGACTCCATTGAAGACAGGGAGCCTTTTTTGTCAATAGTATTCATGCTCCAAAAGCCTATTTTACTCCTAAGGGTGTTTTGTGCTGGGTTTGACTGGGGATAAACCCCATTTGCTGGGATAGGTGAGCACAGGCATGCTAGAGCTCTGTGATTGATCAGTTAGAAAGAGACCAATGCATGAAAGCCCAGACTGATGCAGCTCTCCAGAGAGCAAAGGGAAAGGAGCAATGCAGTTTATCCAGCCAGTCGGACACCTGCCCAGGTGTTGCATACTGGTGTTATTGCGTTACTCTCACGTCTAGATGATTTGACATCAAATAGTGAAATCGGAGAGGTATCCAGTACCATCCAAGTTTGGGAAAAGAGGTTCACAGAACAGAAGGGCATCTTCACTCAGGTGGTAGAGTTCAAGGAGCCAAGACAAACTTGTAGTTCTGAAGTCTCTCTCCCAGATGGGTGCCACTTTCTAAAACCCCACAGTGACAAACATAGAACTGAGACTAAGAGGACTTGCTAATCAACGAATCCCCATCCCCATGTTATAGGTTAGGAAATAGAGGCCCAAGGTAAGCAGTTGATATTCACTCCTTGACCAATCTTCTAGTCTTTTTCTTTAAGAATGCAAATAAAATTGGAAAGCCTGCAGACATCAAATTATTAAGCAGGTTATCTTTGTATATTCCATCTCTAGCAAAATTCCCCTTTGGCAGAAAAGACTCTGGGCCTCTGCAAAGGGGGTGCAGGAAATGGAAGAAGTGGGCAGTAAAAATACAAGAAGTAATGACACAGCCACCCTTGCCACATAAAGAGTCAAGACCCAGCCACCTTTGCCAGGATTGGTGGGGAAAACCATGAATCTCTACAAAGGCAGTGCAGGGGAGCAGAGAGCAGAGGCAGAAGACCTGGCTTCCTGTCCCACATCCACCACTTGTTGCTCATTCTGGGAAGGTCATATAGGTGCCCAAACCTCAGTTTCCCCATAAGCAAAATGGAAGCAATGCCTACTTTGCAGATTGTCATGAACATCTAGTGAGCAGTGTCTGTGATCATGTCTGACCCACAGCACATGACCTGTAAGTGTCCATTGATTTGGAATGTACAACTTATCATACCCCAGGAAGGTCAGGAAAACACTCCAGGGAATACTTGTTCCTATGGGGAATATGTACGACCTGTAGCTGCCATAAATCTGACATGTGAACAGAATGTTGCTGGTAAGACATTAAAACTGCTAGAGCACTTGTGCAGGTAGGTTAATTTAAAAAAATCTGGGATTACTGCTTTTATTTCTGGAGGCAGAGGTGGGGAGCAGCATAACTGAATTATTTGAAAAATCAGCCATTATTTACTTGGCCATCATATGTGTACACAACCCAAGTGACACTCTGGGATATTCACTGGAGGTGCTGGCATAGGAGTGACTGTAGAATGAATAAAACAGTCAATCACTTGTGAAATGAATGGCTCATAGCTCTAGTGGCATTATAATTTATTATTAATAATGCGCTCCAGATTTCATACATATACATTTATTTAATATTTTTCACACAGACAAGATAAGTGTTACATGCTCTGGGGATAGGGTTTCTGAAGCCCAGAATCATGACAAGTCCCAGATGAGGTAGGACAGGAAAAAACTATATATATATATTTATATATCAGCACACAAACCATCTGAACAAGGAGGTCTTTCTCCTGATTACCCTAAACGTTTTATGTTTAATTGTTTTAAAAGCAGGTTTTCTGGCAGTATAGCAAGTTTTCCCCAAGTCACTAAGGGACGAAATTTGCTAAGCGACTAAACCTTGAAAGGCATAGTTACTCATTTTTGAAATGCCATCTTCATGCAGTTCACCCAGTGGCCACTAGTGGCCTCTAAGAGGCCTTGGATCTGTGATCACCAATCTGCAGAGATGACTTTGGCTCCACAAACACCAGCCCCAAGTTAAACTCTTGTTTCCATTTTTTTCAGTGGCCACTCTTCCCTTTAGCAATCTGCTCTTGTAATACTGACTGACAAATGAAGAGAGGCAAGAAAAGGAAAAGGGGGAAATGGCAGGTTTTTCATTTCTAGTAGTTCTGTAGCAGTGAGTCCTACCCATCACTGTGTGTGATATATACAACATTATATAGGTATACTGAGTGTGTATCATACCCTTACGTCATAGCTTTGGTAACATTTGGTTAAGAATTATTTTGGTAAATTCTATATTTTAAAATGTATAAACTCATGTAAGTTTCCTCCCATACACACCATGATATTCAAGAAAAAATGAAATATTTCAGGTGGACACCGAAATCCCAGAGGTGGGACCAGACAGTCACTGGTAGCATTTGACGTCTTGGCATGATTTTAGGCATCCTTAATGTCACCCTTTGAATTCAGTTGTAGCCAGGAAAGGTACTGAGACGATCTCAGATTTGGATTTGTAGCAATTTCTAATAGCCCATTCTTCAGGCTTAGTGGATGTTTCTGAAGAATCTCACCACTGCCTTCCTGGTGTGAAAGGTTATGTGTAGCTGGAAATGTAACGTTCCAGAAGACAGTCTTACGTTGTTAGTCTAGCTTGGCTCTATCTTGTTAACAATAGGTGACCATTGCAGCAGCAGTTGGAATCATTATTTGACAGTTCTAATGTATTGAATTAAAACTGGAAACCAAGGCTGGCTCTATCAAAAAATCAAATGTAGTTGCGTTCTAGTAGTTTTCAGGCGAATGGGGTCTTATACCTTTCCGAGAATCTCTTCCTTCCCATCAGAACTGTTAGAATTAAATCAACTAATTAATGATCAATCTCCTCTTTGTGCAGAGTAAACCTCTCTGGATTGAAGCTTGGTGAGAGATTAAGAGGCATTCAGTGTATGACTGAGAAATGCAATTGTCCAGCAGCAATTCATCCTTTCATTCAGTTCCAGGAAAAATATATGCTGGTTTTCACATACATGTCAGGAGCTCCTCCGGGTTTTCCCTTGGGACATAAAGTTGAGTAAGTCAGTCTCTGGCCTCAAGAAATTCTCAGTCTAGAAGACAAAATAAATAACAGATTATTGCAATTCAGCGTAATAAAGACTGTGACCACCATTTATGCGAATTGTAGTGAAATTACAAAAATCAATGTCTAGTGGTGCGGTGGAGTGGGGAACGGGGTGAGGAGGGCGTCCTGATGTAAGGATATCGAAGCTGGAGCTTAGAGGATGAGTAAGAGTGTTCCTGACAGGCAAGCACATGGAAAAGCATTTGTAGTAGAGGGAACAGTATATGCCAAGCAAGGGGTGACTAAAAGGCAAAAGAGAGATACAAGCCTGGGAAAAGATGGCAGGCGTCATAGCATAACAGGTCTTGGGGATCTTTCTTTTCATCCTGCAGACAATGGGGAACTTGAGAAGTATTCTAATTAGCAGAAATACATAATCAGAATTATGGTTACAAAGTGGTAAGGAGAAAAGAGAGAACAGTAGATACATTTAGAAGCTGTGGAGATACTCCAGACTACAAGAGGAATAGACCAGTGGGATTTTAGCCCCTAGAGGTATGGGTCTCATTTCTCTTGTTCCAGCTTCCTCTGAGCACCTGAGCAATCCTTCAACATTACAGGGTCCAGGACATATTAATAGCAATACTTTATCAATTAAGCCACCTAAGAAAATGTTTCTAATCATTCTAATTAAGGATATGTTAAAATTCTGGATGTCCAAAAGAAATGTGAGAAAGAGTTCTTTTTCCTGTTGTTTTTAAATAAATAAACAAACCAGTTTCTCATGGACAGCATTTATGCTTATAGTTTAGTAATAATATTACCAAAACTTGCAGGGAGAATTCAGTTTGCTAGGGAATTCCTAGCATATAAAGCTAAACATTTAACTTATTTCAAGATCCCATCTGTGACAGGTATAATCATTCTCTGAAGAATATTTTACAACCTAGGGAGACAATAACCTACACTTTTTTCATATTAGGGGAAGAGTAGGAGGACAGGGAGACAGCTGCTCCTCCGGAGATGTTTTTTCTTTTCTTTAGCAGTTCGTTTTCCGGTGTGTTTGGAATTAGGCTAAATTGTGTTAGGTAGACATTTTGAAAGCTGTCACTTTGAAATTGCGAGCTGCCAAGTTTCTAGCTACAGTATCTCAAAAAAACAAAAAAAAAAAAGGAAGAAAAAAAAGGCGGCTTAGCAATGAGCTGTTCCATTTTGCCAGGAACTAGGCTTAGACAGAGGAAGCAAATTCATTTCCTGTTTGTGGCAAATGGAGCCTGGATGATGATAAAGCTTTTTCCATCTAAACTGTCTT